GGTTGGATTTTAGGTTTATGTAAATTCATTTTCTGGGCACTGCACTGTTAAGACATTTCTGTTAAATGTCACACATCACTGTTGGCCTAGCATACGCTTACTCTCCTGATGTATAGGATTACAGCTTTGTCTTCTGGCATAGTCTGTCACTGAGGCTCCAAATGCCATTTTCAAAATTTCCATTTCAGAGGAAATCATATATCTTATGGTTGCCAAATTCTGGACTTTGTGCAGAGGAACTATTTTATGCAAACTTCTTCACATGACCCAAGGCAATGTGATCACCACACTTAGGGAAAAAAAAAAAAAAGAATTATTCCCATTTCAAATGGCTGGGCAGTATCGCAAGGAAGGAGGAAGGAGCTGGGGGTTAGCGGCGTCATCATCTTTCGTAACCTCCGCAGTTTGCTAGTGCCACTCTCTCTCCTGCCTTCGGTACGTTACCATCCCGTGAGAGCTGCAATACTCCAGTGTAATGGGGATACGGAGCTCTGTGCGGAACTACTTAGGGACCACGTGAACTGGGATGGTAACGGCTTCTTGGCCATGAGCTTTGTATGTTCTTTCCTAACTCCTCTAAGTAGGTTCTTTGTAGTATCTTCCCTTTCTTCTTCTGGCTTTAGACATACTTTATTCTTCAGCTTCATGTAGTGTGCAGTTTGCCACCCCTTCCTCCCCTGCTCACTTAACTTTATACGAGTGTGTGGCATAGGAGATCAGGGATTTGGAGTGCTGTTATTCCTCCATGAGATGGAGTCTCTATTTGAAATCCCCCTTCGCTCCATAATGATTGAATACACGAGAAACAATTCTGAGACGTGTCCACATGTCTGTGATCTTTTTGACTATAATATACATGTATTAATACTATTTAATATTTAAAATGGGGACAAAAAGATGGAATAAATGTTCATACTCTCCTTACTTTTTAATACTTGAGCACAAATTTGCACAAGTAGGAAAAGAACTTCTCAGCAGGAATAAGGAATGTGTTTCTGTGTTACGTTTTCACACAAGGGACACTGGGTGACCATGAAGTGCAATGCACAATGCAGTCAGACCTCGAAAAACATAATCTAGAGAAAGTACATTGCCAAAGAAAGATGTGAAGAACACATGATAAAATAATCTTAGCTGGATTTAGCAGATACAATTTAGAGATGTACTGTTTGCAAGCGTTCTAGCAGCTGCAGATCAGCATTACCTGTGATTCTCTTTTCATACCATTTAATCAGCAATAGTTAAATCATTCCATTCATATACTCGTGTTGATGTTTTCGGTCTAGAGCACAGACAGGTACAGTTATTTTGGTGAAAATCTGAATGTAAAATAGAGAATTCCATTTTCATGCTTACTTTGCAAGGAGGCTGTAATTAACAGTAATTAGCGAGCTCTTTGCCGTGGGCTGCATTCAGGCAGTGCCCAAGCCTGATCCACAGCTCAGCCCTTCAGCACAGAAGAGGCTCTGGGGCTGGATGGAGCTCAGCCCACCCTTCCCAGCCGTCGCTGCGGACGTCCCACTACAGATCAGAGCCTTCACCTCACAGCAATATCTTATCCTCATCTCATTTGGGTTGGTTTTTTTAAGGCATAAAAAATAAACATTTGCTTGTTGGATGATCGAATAATAATTTCTGAAACAGTTGGCTGCATCGAAGCGTTTTCCAAGATTTTCTGGATTACTCACTGCTTTTTTAATATATCTCTAAATAGAAATGTGATCATTCACACTGCATATGCCAGCATTGAGCAACCTCAGTTGGACTTCCCTGAACTTCTGTATGTGACATAACAGTGCTGTTTTGATAGGGGTTTTGTGGTGGATTACTTTTTTTGGTTTGGGTTTATTTTTCCTTGGGGGTGTGATGCCAGTTAGCAGCATGAGTGCACGTTGGGTACTGCGGGCACAACTATGACATCTGTTCACTTAGGGTGGATGGCAAATGCTTCAACAAAGATTACAGGATGCTGCAACATGGTAAATAAACCTTTTCTGTATTAACATTATAACCATCAAGTGTATATTCTGCCAGACTTCAGTGTCACAAGACTTATTAACAAAGGTTTGAACTTGGGTATGGTATGGCAGAGCAGATATTGCTATTATTCAGTGTCTTAGGAATTTCAAAAATAATATGTTAATGAAACTATAGAGGACAGTTTTTAATCTTTGTTTGTCTTTGCTTAAGTTAATATAATTTTTAAAACAAGCTATGTATGGCCTTAGCTGTTATCTTAGAGTAAGATGACATAATGACATTAAAAGATTATATCTATTCTTTGATATATCATCTACGTCTGTAATAAATTTTGAAAGTAACAAAAATTAATTCCTCTTGTGGAATGTTCATAGACATGTACAGGTAAGTGAAAATACTACTTTAAATTCATCCAGGTCAGTCAATCAGCTGATTACTGTATGATCCAGTTCCATAGTGATGGAGAAAAGCAGCACTGTATATGATAAAGTCAGGATAAAAATAATAGTTTGATATGATGATAGCCATTACATTGCAGAGAAGAAATCCATCCCCTGTCATTCTCTCTGGAGTGCATGGCATAGTTGTGGCAGCATGCCGTTCAGTTAGGTACCGGGGAGCTGTAAATCAAAGTGACTCTCTGATATATTCTGTTCCAACCCATTTCTCTTAACAAAGTCGGGAAGAGAAAGACACAGACACACATCTAACTTAGAGTCTTGTACTGGGGTCATACTTTATCAGTTACAGAAGTCTCCTGTGAGATTGTTTTTTGAGGCCACCAACATTAAATGGAAGGTGGAGACATCTACAGCACCTTTTGCAGTTCTTACGAGATGCAAAAAATATTTTCTTCAACTAAAAGCCTGGTGTTTGGTTTGGCCCCTGACATGGCAGGGTTGCAATAGAGACACACCCAGCCCCCCCAAATCTACCCTAGCAGCTAATAGTAGCAAAATTTCTCTCCTTGAATTTTGGCCTGAGAAATTAATTAGCTGGACCAAAGCTAATTGCCTGGGCCAACTGGCAGCTGGAATAAATGGTGCAAACTCTGGTTCTCAGCTGTGAAGTGAGATAGTCTAAATTTCTGTTCTGAAGTGTGAATGAGGGAAGGAAGACAGCAGAACTCAGGGCTCAGATGTGCCCTGTGAGCTCAGATGGGTCCATCCGAGCGGGAGGAGAAAGGGGTTGCTCCTGCTGGTGTGGGAGTACTTGTGGCATTGCTTTCCTTGCTCCTGGCTGCTGGGAATTCCCGTGTGCTGATGAGCACTCGGTGCGGCTCTGCCAGGAGATACCAGACTGCGGCTCTTTATCCTCACACATAGATCAGAGGCTTTAGTCATGAGATCAGGCTGTGTGGTGAACACTTGTGTGACTTGCAGACCAACAGTTTAGCACAGAGAGTTGTACGTGTGCCATAAGGTAATAGTAACCAAGGCAGGTACAAGTGTATGACAGAAAGTTAATAGAAAAGGCTAAAGGCAGGAATAGCCCCATGCATGGAGGTTGTCCTTAAGCTTTGAAGTGACTCTCCTCAAGTCTGTGGAGCAGAGTTTCTGTTTGCTGTGAGGCAACTTCTGATATTTCATAGTCAGAGGCAAAAGGTGCACACAGCAGCGTCTGAGGATATGGAGCCTTCTTCGGTTTTTCTGACTAGTGGACAATTTTATTCGAGTATTTTGCATTTCAAACCAAAAAAAACCACCTTTTTTTTCCTTGGCTGATAGCTTACGACCACTGCCATAGGATCTGAATTCCGTTTTTTCCCGGTCAGTCATTTTACAGATAGGCGAGTACCAGAGCAGAAGCTGATCTCCAACGTAGTGCTCAGCATCCACTGGGGAGAGAGGCAGAATGGAGGTTTTGAAATGATACCTGTACGGGTTTGTAGATCTTCTTCTTACTGTACATTTCTACTACATTTTGGGGTCTGATGGGAATTCTTATAATTACATATTTGCTCATATGTGCTTACTAATCCCTGAATTATTGCTGGTGAGATGCACTTCTCAGTGAAGCATTAATTTATTAAACCAAAAGCATTTTAAAAGGCAACTTTTAGAGGAAACCTGAGTAGAAGCATTGTGAAGGAACAGATAACTTCTGCTCCTGACATTATCACATCATTCAAGCTGCAGCTGTCAATCCTAATGAAGGGTGGTGATGCTGATTTGAGCATATTGTTCATATGATGTGCAAGAGCTTTGGGAGATAAGGAATCCCTGTTGCTATCATTTATAATTAAAGCGTCCATCACTTTTCTCTGAAAAACTGCTTGGCAAATAAATAATTAAAGGTCTGATTCTGATACACTTAGTTGAAATGAGAGAGACTTCTGAGAACAGTCCAAATGCAGTAAATGGAATTTCTTCAAAGTAAGGTTTCAAGATAAATAACAGTATTAGAATCTCAGTCAAAGCCAGTTCTTGGTTGTTAAGGCAGAAGGATACTCTGGTTTATGTCCTTTGAAATATAATCCAGCAGACATCTAAGACTGTCCACTTACAAACAGTGCCTGATGTTCTCTGTCATGCTTAAACATGTTCTCTTCTAAGCACAGTAGAAACTAGTCTTAAAATTAATGGCTAGAGATCAGTATTCCCTGCTTACTCAAACAGCTGAAGACAAAGTTGTTGATCTGGTGGCTTGTGCAGTACAGAAGCTTTATAAAGCTTTGTGTTACCTAATAAGTTTATGTTATTACAAATATTCTGTTTTATAGAGAATTTGATTGTTTTACTGAATTGATACTTAAAAGAAGGGTTATGCTTAAATGATATTTCTTTTCATAGTTTCTAAAGTAATCAAAAAGGTTTGGGTTCAGTGTTTTGAAATACAGAATGTTTTCCATGCTTCCATTGTGTTTCAGTAATAACCTTGCTTCCACAATAGTTGAAATAACTGTAAACATGCAAGTCCCTCACAGCATTGGCAGGGAGAATTTCAGTTGATTTTGCTACCTTGAAATTAACCTTTTACTACCGCATGCGTATGTTTGTCATTTATCCCCTTTTTCTCAGGTGCAAAGAGGGCTACCAGGGAGTCCGCTGTGACCAATTTTTGCCGAAAACCGACTCAATCTTGTCAGATCCAAGTACGTCAAATGTTTTTCTTATATTTCAATCCATGCTGGAGGCTGTTCTTACTATGCGAGATGACCCTTTGCATATTGTCAGAAGGCATGTTAGGGATCCCTGCGGCTGTGTGTCGGGAATGGTGCTGCTGGTGGTGCTGGGATAAATTACCAATTATCATTTGGAATAATGGTGTCCCTGCCTAAAGCCAAAATACCCATGTATGTCTACTTTTGACTCAAGAATGAATGAAATTACATAATCTAAAAGGAAACAAAGTATAGGCTGCAAAGGGGTTCCTTCTAAAGAAAATAAATTCATATTGTCTGGCACTGCAGAGATTATAATCTTGGAAATATCTAATGCCAGTTTACGTAAAACTCATTTATTTTTTCACTTTTTTAAGTGAAGTTGCTCTCTATCTGCAGAGTAAAGGTGTACTTTGAGGGAGTAATGTGGAGCAAAGTAACTGTCTGTCACACTGCTCAGTGTATGCTGGAATACCACCTTGCAGGGATGTTCTCCTGCTCCAGCGTTGCCCTTTTAAAACTATGTCCTAAACATTATCCAAGGCCAGTTTCTTAGAGGTGAATCCATTTAGTAATTACTGTTGTTTATCTCAAATTTTTAAACAAAGTGACATACATCAAAGGGTCATATCCATTCTCTTGGTTTTGTTCTTATACCTGGAAACTGTAATGTATTAAGTCCTTGGTTTGGGGTGCTCTTTAAAATTTGATTTGAGTTCTTTTGCTTGTGTTTTTTGGAGAATAATGTTTGTTCTTTGTTCTTCCAGTCCTTTTTTTTTTTTTTTTTTGTTTATTTTCTTGTGCTTTTCCATGTGAAAGCCTGTTGCCAGACACCCGTTGTTTTGTTGGTCTCTGTGTGTATAGCTCCCATTATAGTTTGCTTTGTATTTGGTTTAGCTTTTCCTTTTGCTTGACCTTTCATGGTGAAGTGCAGAGCCTGTAATGAACAAGCAGGTTTTATCTGCCAAATTGTATATGCATGTGTCAACATAGAAGCTGTGTATACGTCAAGGGAAAAGAAAGATACCTTGTGTTCTAAAAGTGGGGGAAAGGACACTCGATTAACAGCACGACTCTCCTGACTTGGTTTGAACAGGGGACTCTAGCTTTGCTCCCTCAAGAGTAGAGGTGAAGTTCATACAGATGCAGTACAAAGCCTGAAAAGCCTCCCAGATTAAGCTGCATCTAATAAGGCCAAAAGCCCTACAGTGTCTGTATGCCGCAGACAGCATTGTTCCTTTGCGGCGTTGTGTTGGTTGCAGAGCTTTGTGTCCCTTTACTCGGGAGGTGCTTACTTTAGTTGGTTTCTGACTACATAGTTCCCATACAATTCCACCTGATCCTGCTCAGTAAGTAAGGTTCTGCTGAAATGTCCTTTTTACACCTTCTGACTGCAAAGGCTATTTTATTTTATTAAGCCTTTCTTTCAAAATTATGTTACTTAGCATATGCAAGACCAGGGGACCTGGGCTTGGTGTCGATGCCAGTCCACTGGACACACCTGTGGCCCAAGAAGGGCCCCTCTTCCATACGAATAAAGACAGTTAACGTGAGTTAGGTAATTTCCCAGTCCGTTCTGAAATTTGACTTACATTTGATTCCCATCTGTATTCAAAAGAGGAAAAGCTTCTGTTCAGCTACGTTTCTGTGTGTTGGCGTAGTGTGATCTATCTCTGTGTGTGTACGTGCACATGCACGGGCTGTAAGCATGCCTGGCCTGCAAGAGAGATCTCTGAAACTTTCTGCTGCCCTGGACAGTGACAGCATGAGCGTTTTGCTCAGGAGTTAAATAAATCATGTATTTATCTTCCTTCTGGAGAAGAAAAAATTAATACCACACTGATAATTAGCACTGAGCAGCATAAATTTTTGCTATTTCCATAACCTGAGAAGAGTAAAAAGTATTTGACGCAGTAGTCAAGTGCAATGTGATCATCTCCAAAGGCACTGGTGTTGCTTTATAAAAGCTTGGTTTTGTGGTTGAATGTGTGTTTGGTTTAGGAACAGAACTTCTGAAGGAGGTGGCTTCAGAAAGAAGCAATTTTTTTAAATGCAAGGCTTAATTTCCAGAAGTTGAACACTCAGATGAGAGCTCTTGTGTCTGGACTGCACGTAGCCAACATCAGCTGGTGTCAGTCAAGCTTTACACAAATAAAGTCCAGCTTATTTGAGTTTTGTGGGATTGCTTAGGGTTCTCATGACTAAATGTGTTCAGAACTGCTAATGATGCACCTGATAATGATATTTAACTTCTTTGAAGCATGCATGCATGAAATACTGAAGCAATATGTTTTTAATCTCACCTTGTCTGTCACAGTGCAGGTTACATTTCAGAACATTCCCTTGGCATTAAATGTGAAGTGAATCTGAACCACAGTCACTTGAAAACTAGCAACAATATTATCTAAAAACTGTTAGTTATTTACATACACAAGAGTTGGTTTGGTTTTGTTTTTGTTTTTTCAATAGACCTCTGAAACAAACCCGGCTTGTTGAGCATAGCTGTTATCTGAGTGACAAATAATGTGATATGGCTCTGCGAGAGTTTTAACGGCATCAGGCCAAACCCAGCTTCTTAGCTCATTTTAGGTGTATGTTAGTCAGGTCTTGAGTTTACATCACAGATCTGAATACAAATTATGTAATACTTAATACAGATTAATGCATGCTAAATTGTGTACGTGTAGTTTAATTAAACAGTCAAGATAGTTAAGATTCTGTTTTCAGGAAACCTCTTGAAACTACCTGATGGGGTTTCAGAATTCCTGAATTGCATCCATGGCTTCTTGCAGTCAGATCTGCCACCTGCTGCCTTTCAGCTCAAAGTTAGAGTCAAATTAATAACAAAATGGATGTAGGACACACATAGAGCAGTGTCAGAACACCCCACACACAGGCCCTTGTACTGGACCGTCAACCATCCTAGATGTTGTCAGGTTCCACCTCCCTTAATTTCTCCACTCTTAACCAGCTTTTCTGGCTAAGTGAAAGATGTTTAAATAAAAAAAAACAAACCACACCAACAAAAATCCCCAACCCAAATGCAGGTACTTTGAGAAGAAGTTTGTTGATCTTGGAATACCGGAGAAATGTGCCTAAACCATGGGAGCCACGAGGAACCCAACAAAATAACAACATCCCCAATAAGGGGAAAGGCTGCATGCTGCACGGCAGTGCAACCCATGCTCCCCGTCGGTATTGAGAGGAGGGAACCCGCCAGCCCTGCTAACACTGGGCAGGACAAGTCCCTGAACTCTCTCTGTCATCTCCTTCATCTGTGGAGGGAGTACTAATGGGACAAAGAGAAAAGAAATGGCAGTCACGTGCTTGAAGGAAAGGATAGAACTATGTTTGAAATGTCGCTTTGACTTTCTCCATCTGGGCTAACTGCTCTACAAATACAGTTCATGACAGTGGTGGAGCACTTACATCTTCGACATGATGATAAATACAACTTCATGTACGAGTCATTTTTCAGGCATGTGTAGTCCTGTGTGTATCTATAGGATTGGGAACTTCTATACACATAAATTGTACAAATGTACTCATGTACTATCCTTTATAGTGTTCTGGAGTAGACCTGCCTGGCCCAACGAATCTTGAAAGGTAAGTTGTATGTAGGCTGTAGATATTTCTTTTGATCAGTTTTTATCCTGAGACAAAGTGTAACCTTGAAAGCTTTGACTGTTCTGTGCAGATATTCCAAAGCAGGGAACAAGGCATTGAGAATGGGTTTGTCATTTTACCCTTTTTTTTTACCAAATTGTTGGACTCCACCTTCAACTCTTTTGTTCATGACCTTGAAAGCAACTATCCTACGCAAAAAGTCTGTGTCAGTTTTTTAATGTACAGTATTAATTTTATATTTGGCATATTAACATTCAAGTTGTCCCATTTGACCTCCGAAGCTTAAATGTAGAGGGTTCCCCGGTCACTGGGAATGTTATCCGATCCTTTTTTAAAATAAATGCATTATTTTCTCAAAGGAAAAAAATAGGATGGAAAGCTTATAGGTCATTAGGCCACGCTTCTGCTGTTGCAGACAACCCCGCCATGTAATTCCTTCCATAAACTGATCATACTTCTTTTGTAAACCACTTACAATCAGTGTGAAGCCGCCACTAGAAACAGGTTTTGTTTGTCATCTCTGCTCTGAAGGTTTCAAGTCTTTTCAGCTTCCACACAAAATTTATGGACAGCCCAAGTCTGTCAATTATGTTCTTTGTTAAAATGTGCACTTGGTGTCTACATTGATATTTTTTTCCTATTGGTTTCCACCATGTTACAGTTCAGGTCTGCCTTTCTTCCGACGTCAGAAGTCTTACTCCTGTGGAGCTAGCCATAACCTGTGCTCCAGCCTGTGACAGCCTCTGTAATCTGCACTTACTCGTTCTTTGGTTGCCTCTTTGTGCAGCAATGGATAAGAACCCCCCTTCCGAAGGGCTGGGGCTCTAAATGAGCAAAACAACTCCAGAGAGTTTAAAAACGAGAGAACTGTTTTTTCAGAAATGTATTTGAAACCTCAAGACCCCCACTCGCCGCCTCCTGAAAAAAAGCCCCCAGAAAACCCAAACAAAAATCTTGGACTTTTTGCCTTTTCCTTTTATTCTCTTTTTGTCATCCGTGTCCGTCCCATCTCCCCGCCTCCCTCCAGTTTTGCATTTGTGAGGACATGGGATGATTTGTGTTGAAAGAGGACTCTGGACAGCGGAATTCGGGAAGTTCAACCTCCTGCTTTAAGCTTAGAAGTTTTTGCTAACTGTACTAGACACCACAAAGGTAATCTGTGAAATATTTATAGAATATATTTTCAAATAATTTGAATAAATAAAAAATGAAACTTCTGAGTCTCTTAATGATCAGTTATCTAGAACCTGAATATTTGTTTTGTCAGCTTTACTTAACCTTTCTGAACTTGTCAGCATTCCTCTTGAATTTGGTTTTTCTTCCTTTTTTGATTTCTGGGAGGCATAGGGGAAAATAAGATTTTGCTTTCAAGAAAGACTTTGAAGGTTGGATGTGGATAGGGGCAGTTATGACTGGAAGAGAATTTAGGGAAAATAGGACTGATTAGCCAGAGGTGGATGTTGTGGAAGGCAAATCCTTCTGAAACAAATTTGACATGGGCCTTGTTTAACCCCAGATAGAACTTCTGAAATCTGGCTCTAAATCTGAATTTTGTCTCTAAATCTTAACTTTGTCTCAAAAAGAAAAGGTTTTTAGCCCTTCTGCAGTAATTATGTCATCTGGTTAAGACTGGCTTGTATTCAGAAAAGCATATATGGAGGGAGAGGCTTCAGACCAAGATTCTTTTGCAGCGATTGTCATTTTGTGCTGTTTTATCAATCTAATTGCAAAGAAGAGTGGCACATCAACTGTGTGTTCACAGAATAATAATTATTCATGTTGCTCTAGGATATTAAGCTTTCACAAAAATGAGATCATCAAAAGGTGATATTTTATTTATTGCCTGTAAAATTAGCTTTTAAGAGCTATGTGGTGACAGTGGTCAAGTGAAGTCCCTGAAGGTGAGAGGTCAGTGTAAGATCTGTGAGCATGCATCCAGTGGGGGTGACATTCCTCTTAACTGCAGTTCCGTTACAAGGAGATATAAACAGAGTCCTTCCAGTTCAAATACATCACAAATCAACCTAGATTAGTGTTGATGCATTAAAGATTCAAAGGAAGGAAGGAAGGAATTGCCTTGTTAGAAATAGCATTACAGGAGAGAAGCAGCAGAGTCGCTTCAGAAGTTTTAATGAATTTATCTATAGATGAGGAAAGATGCATCACATGAGAGACAGGCTGGGGAATATGAAACCTCAGCAAGGTAAAATAAGAAAGAAAAGATATCCTCGGGGGAATGAGGGACATGTTTTCCCTCCTCTTTGATCAGGTGTGGGTAGAGACCTCAGGATGCAGATTGTAGGAGATGACGTTTTTTCAAATTTGAGTTGTGCTGAAGCTGTAAAATTTTTCTTCATGTGAACAGTATGAATCTTCTTTACTTTTTATTTGTTTGTTTGTTTACTTTAAAATAGGAACTTAGGCTTTATTCTGCAGAACTGGAGCGAAAGGCTCAAAACCAGAAGTGCAACATTAACGAAGCGTTAGTAAAACGGTGCGGCAGTGGGAAACGGAAATGTGAATGCATTCGGTGTCAGAACATACTGAAAAGTTAAAGCCCAAGAGAGATGAACTGAAATCACAGATCTGCTGCTAATGCAGTGGGCAAAGAAAATCACACACAAAATCACTATCAGTTTTTATAATTGTTTCTTACAATATTAAAACCAAAACGTAAACAACTGGAAATAATATTTGTTTCTGTAGGTAAGCTAGCAGTGACTCGTACAGAATGTGCAGAATAGGTGTTCAGTGGGTTGGTTTTATTTTTTTTCTCTGCCAGTACAGCAGAATAGATACTAAAAATCACAAGAGTATTGGTGATCTTCATGTTTCTGATGTAAAAGGGGAATATTTTAAATTCATTCTAGAATTGGAAGTTTGTGTCACTGTCTCAAAAATGAAAACAACAACAACAAAAAATCCACTAGTGTGAGAGCTGTTTCCACACAGCATTAAACTGAATTGCTTTAGTTACTTTTGTGTACAATAACAGAGCTTTCCCCCCTACTTCCACTGAATTTCCAGTCCTTTTAGAAAACCAACCAGCAATGAGTTTGTACGACACCCCACACACCCCCTGGCTTGCTTTCTGGAAAGATTGAGGGGGATTTACAATCGATTTCCATTTCATATTTCAGTTCTAAATGAACTGCCGGCCTTTACCAAGTTAATATCTCTCTATATTTAGTATTAGCTAAAATAACATTTAGATAAGAAGTCACACAGGTTTATTTGGAAAACTAGAAAAATTCAGTCTGAATTTGGCCAAAATCCTTCCATTAGTTTTAAAGGAGCATTGGTTCTTTGTTCTTCTCTGTTCATCTTTTGTCCTGGAGAGTAAGAATGTATTGGCATCTGGTTACTCAACGTTATTTTATTTTCAAAAATTTCATTTAAATTATTGGAGTATGTCTGGTTTTGCCAGGACTTTTAGGCCATAGGTAGTCTTCTGTAATTCAGCTTGTGAAGACTGCGGCTTTGTGGAGAGAGGCTGGAATTGGGTAGATGCAGTATCTTTGACAGCAGGGAAAAAAAAAAAAACAACAAAAAACTCAAAACCAACTTCTCCTTTAAAAACTGCCTAATAACGAAATAGAAAATTCCTTTTATTTGCTCTCAGTATAAATCCCAAAGGAGATAGAAAATGGAGATGTGTAGCAATGCAGATCCCTGTCAACACAACGTTTTCATCAGCGTGTCGTCCTGTAAGCCACAGACACGAGAAATCAAAGAAGAGATTACAGCTGTCCCACACAGAGGAGTTTGAAGGCTGCACCTCCAGTCCACCATTCATCTGTGAAATCTGGAACTTGCATCTAGTTGAAGAATTTCTAGGTCTCTGCGTGGTGATTTTTGCACATGTATTTTAAGGAAGTTTACCATAGGATGGCAGAAACACTTGGCTACAGCTGGTTACACACCAGCCCCGGCAGATGGCTGTGAGTGGGGGTTGCAGCCTTCCGTAGGGATGGGGATGGGTTCCCCGGGGCTGGGTTCCCCGGGGATGGGAGCCGCTCTCTCCGCTGGCAGGCACCCACTGCCCTCAGCGCTGGGGCCCGGAGGAGAGGCAGCACCTTCTGCAGGGATGAGGTTCTGAAACATCGCTCTGCCCTTCACTCCTCTTACGAGCACATTACGGTTTCCTAAATCTGCTGTTGGCCATCCCATGTCTGGAGAACCGTGAGTTTAAATGCAGTGTGACGGGTACGTTCTGTGCCAGCCTAGCCCGCGATCTGAGCAGCTGACTTTACAACTTGCACTCTGTTCCCACCAATGAGATGTTACTGTTGGCGTCAATCTCCCACCATCTTTCAGGAGGACTTCTCTGATTTTTGCCTGGGTGGACAAGGTGCAATCAGTCATTTGACTGGTCAGATCACATTTGCGGGCCCTCTAAGAAGGAAATTCAGCAGTGCAACAAGCTGAGCTGCTTCATGACCAGAGAGAAGAGTTTAAGCAAAGATGGCTCATCACAAAATGACGTGTAGGGAAATTGCACAAAACATGACAGTGATTTAGCTGGAAAGCATTTGTTTCATCAGGTTCTGTCTTTGTAAACTAGCTACTCAGTTGTCCAAATAGTATTTCACTTTACCAGTACCGTTGCGCTTTATCTCAGTGATTTAGTCCCCCTTCTGATGGTAAATGCCGGAGGATTGGTTGAGATGGCATGGGGCAGGTTTCATAAAGATGTCATAGTCTGGTGCAAGAGCTATAACAACACATGGAGAAAAGATGGATTTTTCTCACTGGCAACTAATCTTGTATCTTTGAGCGTATCTCTCTATTAAATCTAAGCCTGAACTGGGTATTTTGCCTTCACCTATGAGTGGTTCTGTGTTAAAATGATTCTAGTGAAAAATGCAGCAGTGCGAGTGCAGATAAATTCCAAAATGGTGGGGTGCCTGATACACTGATCTGTCTACAGCACAGTTATGTGACTGGGAAGTGATAAACGGCAGGAAAACAGGTTCTGT